TGGGTGGGGAGGGTAGGGCTGGGTGGGGGGTGGGAGGGGTGGGGCTGGGTGGAGGGGGCTGGTCACCCCGTGGTGCCCTTATAAAACTCAACGTTTAACCTACTCACGCCGGCTTGTGCCCGCCCTCACAGTCGGCCATATTTGCGGAATACACCACGCCGCCATTGACCCTGGCCATTGACCGAGCAACCCAACGTTCCTACCAGCTCCCTCCGCAGGAATGTGTGTGTTTCAAAGATGTCCAGTAGGGACGGGTCAGAAAGTTATAATAAACAATAACAAAACGAATAAGTATAAAAAGCAAAGCAAGTCACTACAAATAAATAAGGTATATAATTACTACTCTAGGAGTCCAAACTCACGACATTTACAATGCGAGTACTGTACTCGAACCCTTACTGTCTGACTGGTGGATGTGGGTTTACGACACGATTACATTTGTAGTGACATCAGGGATGTCACTGTGTGGTGCCGGCCCGGGAGGGCCGTGGAGTGCGATGTCCCGACATCGCGGACAGCACCGGGTGGGTTGCTGTGTGAGGCCGGCTCTAGCACAGCACGGCGAGCGATGCACCGTCATCGCGTACACCCCGTAGGCGTGTGTAGTACCAGCCCTAGCGGGGCTTGGTGTGCGCTGGGATAGCGCGGGCACCACGCATAGCGTGTAGTGCGGGCTCCCACAAGGGGGAGTGGGAGAGTGTCAGCCCAGGGGCAGGGTTGCCCAGGGCCATGGCACTCTGGTTGACCCCGTAGACACGTGATCCGGAGTGTCCACAGAGAAGGCCCCAGGTGGGGAGGTGGGGGGGGCTAGGGGGGGCTAGGGGGCGATCACGTGTCCAGGGAGAACTCTCGAGGGGGATCGAGAGGGAGCTAGAAGGTGGGCGGGGCCAAGGGCGGAGCGGAATAGACCCAGGAGGATATAAGGTGGGTCCCTGAGAGGGACCGGGGTCGCTGCATTCTACAAGCTGAAGCTCTACGTCTACAAGTTGGAAGCTCTACGTCTACAAGCTGGAAACTCCACGTCTACAAGCTGGAAGCTCCATTTCTACAAGCTGGAAGCTCCAAGTCCTACAAGCTGGAAGCTCTACATCCTACAAGCTGGAAGCTCTACGTCCTGCGAGGCATCAACACGTGGTCGAGACCCGAGTGAGCGTCTGACCCTTCGTAGCTGTAACTCCTACGTGTAGTGTAGTTAGCTGGGTGGTCACCACCCTCGGCTGTATCTGGTAAAGGGGCAGTTACCCCTTTGTGTTAATGTGTTGATGTTACAATAAAAGTGTTGCCTCTAAAGAGAGACGTCTGCGACTCAGTTGGACTCACTACACATTCACGCGATCCGACCCAAAAAAAGCACCTTATTACGAATGTTGTAACATTGGCCGCCAAAGCCTTCGAGTTAAAGTGACCGCTCAAACAGCAACGCGATAGGACTTGGGCAGGACACGGGAGCGTGGCCCGCAGCGATGCAGGCCGAGTGGGGAAGAGTGAAGGGAGCAGCCAGGGAGTGGAGACGTCGACCGCGGAGATGGAGCGGTGGTGACATCGACTACTCTGGCTGGATCGTTACATCGCGGGCATCGAGACGGGTGGCCACATACGCAGATTCACCCCATGATGATGATGCACTACAGCAGTTCACAGTAAAGTGTACGGTGTGCGTTAGAGTGGGGGGAGCGTTAGAGTGGGGGGGGGGGGGAGCGTTAGAGTGGGGGGGAGCGTTAGAGTGGGGGGGGAGCGTTAGAGTGGGGGGGGAGCGTTAGAGTGGGGGGGGGGAGCGTTAGAGTGGGGGGGGGAGCGTTAGAGTGGGGGGGAGCGTTAGAGTGGGGGGGGGGAAGCGTTAGAGTGGGGGGGAGCGTTAGAGTGGGGGGGGGGAGCGTTAGAGTGGGGGGGGCGGTAGAGTGGGGGGGGAGCGTTAGAGTGGGCGGTAGAGTGGGGGGGGGAGCGTTAGAGTGGGGGGGAGCGTTAGAGTGGGGGGGGAAGCGTTAGAGTGGGGGGGAGCGTTAGAGTGGGGGGGGGAGCGTTAGAGTGGGGGGGGGCGGTAGAGTGGGGGGGGGAGCGTTAGAGTGGGGGGGCGGTAGAGTGGGGGGGGAGCGTTAGAGTGGGGGGGAGCGTTAGAGTGGGGGGGGGGGAGCGTTAGAGTGGGGGGGGGTCGGTAGAGTGGGGGGGGGGAGCGTTTAGAGTGGGGGGGGCGGTAGAGTGGGGGGGGGAGCGTTAGAGTGGGGGCGGTAGAGTGGGGGGGGAGCGTTAGAGTGGGGGGGAGCGTTAGAGTGGGGGGGGGGCGGTAGTGCAGTGGTTGGCGCGTTGCGCAACGAACTCGGCGTCCAAAGTTCGATTCCCTCTCACGGCCACCGACACAAGTATCGATTATCTGAACCGGTCGTGGGGCCTCCCTTAGGTAGCCTCAACCTCAAATGATTTACCTTGTGCGGTGTGCCAACTTCGCCACTAGGGAGGCAAACAGGGGGCCGGGCGTGGTGCTGCTGGCCACCCCGCCGCCTCGTGTGCCCCGCCGGCCTTCGTAGTGCCCGACTGTCGACTTCCTCTCCCGCACATGGCGACACGTTTATTCACTAGAACTGCAGTTTAAATTCCCTAGAGTGGCCAGTTCAACACGTAGGCTTTCGCGACCAATATCATCCATAATACAGATTTGTTTTGGGTCAGATCGCGTAAATATGTGTCGTTAAAGCCCGCCACCACCCGACACTGACAACTAGTAAGGGTTGTCACGTAAACAGAACGTGCCAATTCGTCACTAGTACAGCACTAACCGGTGTGTTGGAGAGCCAAGCCACGACATCACTAGTGGTGTTTGTGTATAGACCATAGTACATTATACAGCGTAAACAGTACATCACCAACCTACACTACTCTCTAATGAATTGTGACTACATTAGAGACACAACTATAATGGTGTGCTGCGTGTAATACAGTTGCCACGTGCAATAGTGTTGTGTGTGCCGTGGTGTTGCGTGTATCACAGGACGTACTGTGATGTCGTGGTGCTGTACGTCATGTTAAACAGCAGCGTTGTATACACCAGAGGTCGCACCCGGGTACCCGATACCCGGCTACCCGTACCATACCCGTACCCGGCCAGGTACGGGTAGGGTACGGGTACGGCCGGGTACGGGTACCCGTTTGCGACCCTGGTGCGGCCGGGTACCCGTATACACTAAAGTGTGCACACGTCATCGCTTGTATTGATACGCGTTTTAATACGGGTGTGTGAGTGTTATTGGATTATAACTTGACGTGTAATGGTGTTATAAGTGTTATACAATTCAGCATTATGGTGTTAAACGTGTAATGCAGTAGTGTTTAGTGTACAGTGTGTATGACAGTGTCACCGTGTGACGGTGTTACTGTGTGGTAGTGATACTGTGTGACAGTGTTATTACTGTGTGTGACAGTGTAATTACTGTGTGTGACAGTGTTAGTGTGTGTGACAGTGTTACTGTGTGTGACAGTGTTACTGTGTGACAGTGTTACTGTGTGTGACAGTGTTACTGTGTGTGACAATGTTACTGTGTGTGACAGTGTTAGTGTGTGTGACAGTGTTACTGTGTGTGACAGTGTTACTGTGTGACAGTGTTACTGTGTGTGACAGTGTTACTGTGTGACAGTGTTACTGTGTGTGACAGTGTTACTGTGTGACAGTGTTACTGTGTGTGACAGTGTTACTGTGTGACAGTGTTACTGTGTGTGACAGTGATACTGTGTGACAGTGCTACTGTGTGTGACAGTGTTACAGTGTGACAGTGTTACTGTGTGTGACAGTGTTACTGTGTGACAGTGTTACTGTGTGTGACAGTGTTACTGTGTGACAGTGTTACTGTGTGACAGTGTTACTGTGTGACAGTGTTACTGTGTGACAGTGTTACTGTGTGACAGTGTTACTGTGTGTGACAGTGTTACTGTGTGTGACAGTGTTACTGTGTGTGACAGTGTTAATGTGTGACAATGTTACTGTGTGTGACAGTGTTACTGTGTGACAGTGTTACTGTGTGTGACAGTGTTACTGTGTGACAGTGTTACTGTGTGTGACAGTGTTACTGTGTGACAGTGTTACTGTGTGTGACAGTGTTAATGTGTGGACAATGTTACTGTGTGTGACAGTGTTACTGTGTGTGACGTGTTACTGTGTGACAGTGTTACTGTGTGACAGTGTTACTGTGTGTGACAGTGTTACTGTGTGACAATGTTACTGTGTGTGACAGTGTTACTGTGTGACAGTGTTAATGTCGTGGACAAGTGTTTACTGTGTGACAGTGTACAGTGTACTGTGTGACAGTGTTACTGTGTGTGACAGTGTTACTGTGTGACAGTGTTACTGTGTGTGACAGTGTTACTGTGTGTGACAGTGTTACTGTGTGTGACAGTGTTACTGTGTGTGACAGTGTTACTGTGTGACAATGTTACTGTGTGTGACAGTGTTACTGTGTGTGACAGTGTTACTGTGTGACAATGTTACTGTGTGTGACAGTGTTACTGTGTGTGACAGTGTTACTGTGACAGTGTTACTGTGTTGTGACAGTGTTACTGTGTGTGACAGTGTTACTGTGTGACAGTGTTACTGTGTGTGACAGTGTTACTGTGTGTGACAGTGTTACTGTGACAGTGTTACTGTGTACAGTGTGACAGTGTTACTGTGTGTGACAGTGTTACTGTGTGTGACAGTGTTACTGTGTGTGACAGTGTTACTGTGTGACAATGTTACTGTGTGTGACAGTGTTACTGTGACAGTGTTACTGTGTACAGTGTGACAGTGTTACTGTGTGTAACAGTGTTACTGTGTGTGACAGTGTTACTGTGTGTGACAGTGTTACTGTGTGACAATGTTACTGTGTGTGACAGTGTTACTGTGTGTGACAGTGTTACTGTGTGTGACAGTGTTACTGTGTGGTAGTGATACTGTGTGACAGTGTTATTACTGTGTACAGTGTTACTGTGTGACAATGTTACTGTGACACTGTACTGTGTACAGTGCTGTACATTACCTCGTCCCTGCTGCTGCTACTGGCGATGATCGTCAACAGTCGGCGCACATCCCGTCAGCTCTGCCCGAACATCACCACCATCATCACCACACCACCATCACCACATCACCATCACCACATCACCATCACCACATCACCATCACCACATCACCATCACCACATCACCATCACCACATCACCATCATCATCACCACATGATCACATCATCACCACATCACCACCATCATCACCATCACCACACCACCATCACCACCATCACCACATCACCACCATCACCACGCCACCTAAACCACCGCACAAACATCCACCACGCTCGCCATGTTACACCCGTGACGTCACAGCCCCGCCCCTCGCCACCCAGGTTCCCCTAAGCCCCGCCCCTTACAGCCCCGCCCCTAATTTCACGGACTTGTCCCCCCCTCCTCCCCCACAGCCCCGCCCTCCTCCCCCACAGCCCCGCCCCTCAATTAACCTGAAGCCCACAGCCCCGCCTCGCACTTTACTTTGAGCCCCGCCTCTCACTACCCAGAATACCCCCACAGCCCCGCCCCTCACGCCCCAGGCTACCCCCACAGCCCCGCCCCTCACTCCCCAGGCTACCCCACAGCCCCGCCCCTCATTGCCCAGGCTTGTCCCCACCCCCTCCTCCCCCACAGCCCCGCCCCTCACGCCCAGGCTACCCCCACAGCCCCGCCCCTCACTCCCCAGGCTACCCCACAGCCCCGCCCCTCATTGCCCAGGCTTGTCCCCACCCCCTCCTCCCCCACAGCCCCGCCCCTCACGCCCAGGCTACCCCCACAGCCCCGCCCCTCACTCCCCAGGCTACCCCACAGCCCCGCCCCTCATTGCCCAGGCTTGTCCCCACCCCCTCCTCCCCCACAGCCCCGCCCCTCACGCCCAGGCTACCCCCACAGCCCCGCCCCTCACTCCCCAGGCTACCCCACAGCCCCGCCCCTCATTGCCCAGGCTTGTCCCCACCCCCTCCTCCCCCACAGCCCCGCCCCTCACGCCCAGGCTACCCCCACAGCCCCGCCCCTCACTCCCCAGGCTACCCCACAGCCCCGCCCCTCATTGCCCAGGCTTGTCCCCACCCCCTCCTCCCCCACAGCCCCGCCCCTCACGCCCAGGCTACCCCCACAGCCCCGCCCCTCACTCCCCAGGCTACCCCACAGCCCCGCCCCTCATTGCCCAGGCTTGTCCCCACCCCCTCCTCCCCCACAGCCCCGCCCCTCACGCCCAGGCTACCCCCACAGCCCCGCCCCTCACGCCCCAGGCTACCCCCACAGCCCCGCCCCTCCCCCACACCTGGAGTCTTACATTCAAGTCCTCCAGACGGCCGTCAACACTGCGGCCTTACCAAGCACACAACACAAACACAGGCGACGTCTCCGCCTTCTTTCATAGCAGGGGTCGGGAACCTTTTTGACTGGGAGAGCCATAAAAGCCAAATATTTCTCAATATATTTCATTGAGAGCCATATAGTATTTTTAACGTATAATAGATTAAATGTCTTACTTTTAATGCGACTTCTGGTGCTGCATGGTTTTGCTGATGGCCTTGTAGTCTGGTTCATACGTGGTGAGGTTGAGCTTCGTGCAGGCGTGACCCGTGAAATTTATCTTCAAAACTAATTTCTGTTTACTTCAAAATGACACAGTATTATTAAGCAATATCACAAGTATTTAAAAATCAGTTCCAAACTGATTTTTTTTTTTTCAACTCAAAATTGTTTGGGAGCCATATGCCATCACTGGAAGAGCCATATATGGCTCGCGAGCCATAGGTTCCCGACCGCTGTTTCATAGAGTTATCGATTCACAGTCGCCCACAGAACGACGCGAGTGATGTCCTTTGAGTGATAAAGTTAATTGGAACATTGCGGATCGTGAACGTTGAAATGCGGTGTTTTTTCTGGAAGACTTTGCTGTTGCGTGTAGTCACTTTAAGATGTTTCTTGTTCACGTTTTGTTGCGGTTGCACCCGAGTCAAGAGCCGCATGGCTCACAGGGTTATACCTCATAAATAAATGTAAAAAAACGTGTGGACAGGTGACGGGACGAAAGATGAAAGAAAGTGCGCAAAGAAGCGCTGGGAATGTTCGTGAGAGAGGAGGCGCCGTGGGTGGCTTCGAGGCAGGGGGCTCCGTGGCGAGTGGTGGGCATGGGCAGGGCGCATGGCCAGGAGAAGCTACGGATCACGATGGCATCATGAATGGAACAAGTCAGAGGGGATACCACAGCCAAGAGGACGATGGTTATGGAGTGACTCATGCTGCCAGCTATGGCTGCAAAGTTTGATCGTACATGTTATGCAATATCGTGTATTGTTAAATTTGAATCACAGTCCCTATGATCACTGTTACATTGTTTTTATAGCTTTATTTTGGTGATTTCGAAAACTTTTGGTTTCGCCATATTTGTTTGTTGTAGTACAGAGTTAGACTGATAACTTTAATCTACATCGTCTCATGGTTATTGTTTCACTTGCATCCCACTGGGATTTTTGCACAGAGCGTTGATGTACGGTGCTTTTTCTGGAAGACTTTGCTGTTTTTTCCTGAATTTTTCTGTTGCGCGTAATCACTTTAAGATGTTCCTTGTTCATGCTTTTGTTTGTTGCGGTTGCACCTGAGCCAAGAGCCGCGTGGCTCACAGGGCTATACCTAATGAATGAAAATGAAATGGTCACCACCATGGAGGTGTATGCGAGATGGATTGTGGCAACAGGGCTCCAAGCTGATTGCATAACAACGGCAGCGTCACTCGCTACTCATCACAAGATAATGTTACCCAGCATGAGGTCGTTAGCTTTTTTTATTTAATTCTTAATACTCCAGACGGGTGGGGTTCAGGAGTTGTGGATTGTCTTAGGATAAGTGTAATGTGTATTGACAAAAGCCATGAGGTGATTGCACGTGTACCGATATGTACTGAATCACTTGCGTCATGAGGCTCTTTACTGGCACAGCTAGAAAGTAAACTTTGTCTGCAAGCAGCCTCTGACAAAGGGCTGCGAGTGACCGATCAAAGTACAGGTTTCTCCTTGCTCGACTAGCATCGTGCTGTTACTGGAAGTACAATTCATACTCTTTGGTTCTTTCGGTAAAGTCACGTAGGTATAAAATAAAATAAATGTATTTTATTTCATACCTACGTGGATCCCTGAGTCACGAAAACTTCAAATCTAGTACAATGCATGTCTGTGGAAGCCTCCCAATACACGCCAAGTTCAATAATAAATGACAGGGGGCTGTATCGCTTGTTGCAGAGGCTCGCAGTGTGAGCCCAGCGGTCGCCCTGGTTAATCCTGCTTCACGTCTCTCGTTAAGAGAGCCCGTGGTATTATTTGACACGGAGTCGCCATGTGCGCCTGGGTCATCAGGCAATTTTGCGGCATTTTGAAAAGTGACTCGCAAAAAGGACGAAACCCCGGCGCACAGTGCTCGTTTACAGGCCGGTGCTGCGTAAATGTTGTGCCGCCCAGGGGTAACTGCCACTGGGGGTCCCCCTAGGCCAGACTGCAGCAGTACATTGGATTGGCTGAAATGAGATGCAACGTAACTCGCTCTGAGTTGCAGAGGAATTTACGCATGGGCTCTATACAGTCAAAGTACATCCTTAGCCTATTCCTGTCATGTAGTGTTTGAAAAGATCGACAGCAGGCTACAATTGTGTTTAATGTTGTGAGCCGCTGCACGACATCATCCGAGGTGATAGCGAAGTGGACCTGATCACGCGTGGTTGTATTGGGCAGCCTGATGGTTTGCACCTCACCACATTCGTAGTTTGGTGAGGTCCTTCCTTGCTCGTTGCTATTTATGGGGGGAATATCCCCACCGTCTTCCATGCGTTATCCATAGCCGTAATAACGAGGGACTTGGGGAGTGCACACTGCTATAGTATTGCCTCGTCACCATACATGAATCTGACAAAAGCAATGGGCAAGGCTCGTGGAAGGCAACAGGTGGAGAGCGAGAGAAGGAATGAGGTGGACTGAGGGAGAGGAGGAGGCACCGGAGTGGAGAGCAATTAGAGGGAGACTTCAGCAGCAGACGGAAGGGATACGACGGTGGAGATCGCAGACAGTGGAGGGCTGCTGCTGGCAGAAGTTCATGGACCCAGCGTTCTCCATTACTTGGCTGGAGAGCAACAGTTTCATTTTTAAATCCTTTATATTAAGTTCACTTGCTTGCTTGCTTAGGACCGTGCAAATCTTTCTGTCGTTTTTTAACCCACTTCCCGTGATCCAATCGAGCTGACATTTTCCACACAGACTCGTTGTGCGTGACAATGAATGTTCGTGAAAATTTTTTTCCAAAATTTTACACTTTTTAGGACAAAAATATTATATTTAATTACCAATTGCTTAATGCTGCCATGCAATCATCTGACCCATAGGTGGCAGCCATCTCAAGCCAGAGGACGAGAGGACTCTAGCCGCCACGCATATAAAGGATTTATAGTGAAAAACATTGTTTTTACGGGTTATACTTGTTCAAGTTGATGTTGGTTGTGTAACGAGGTCAGGGGTGCCATTAGAAATGTGCTTTTATAGTATTTGGCTGCTATAAGTTTCCACGTGATAAGGCACTTCGTTGAGCTATATCATTGATGGCCAGGTCGCTTCTGAAAAAGAGCTACACAGCTCAATGGGTCTTACCTGGTAAAATAAAAAATTGTTCATGGTTGATATCACACCTTGAAGACACAGGTGTAACCATCATCTGCATCAGAACATCAGCAGGCTGATGCGCACATCTCCTTCATATGAACCTTGTGGCGGGACCCCAGGGCCCATAAGCCCCTGGCTCTCGCATAAACTGCGTCGCGACGTCATTTTATATCTGTTTAAGGCGAACGACACGGCGATCTGTTCCTCTCGACGAGCTCTACGCGAAACAAAACTTTAATAAGCGCATCATATAGAGCAATGTGCGCGGAGGGGTGGAGTCGCGTATACGGGACCCGGGGTCCTGCCATAAGGTTCAGATATGGAAAATTTGATTAAATCCAGAGACACCTAGAGATACATATACTCGTAGAAATATAGAGACACAGACAACATACAGAGATACCTACATTAAAGACAGCCCACAGCAGTGCGATTGTGGCCGTGCAACCCAAACAATGGACCATATACTCTTTGGTTCTTTCGGTAAAGTCACGTAGGTCTAAAATAAAATAAATTAAATCTGATGATGATTGCTTGTGTAGCAATCGAAACGTCGTGATTTAATTTATTTTATACCTACGTGACTTTACCGAAAGAACCAAAGAGTATGGATCCCTGCAGTCACGAAAACTTCAAATCTAGAATGGACCATAGAGTAAACCACTGT